TGTAAATGTCTATTAGGTTTGCTTGGTCCAGGTCTCAGTTCAAGTCCTGGATATCCTTGTTAATATTCTGTCTCATTGATCTGTTTAATATTGACAATTGGGTTTTAAAGTCTCCCACTATTATTGTGCGGGAGTCTAAGTCTCTTTGGAAGTCATTAAGAACTTGCTTTATGTATCTGGGTGCTCCTGTATTCGGTGCAAATATATTTAGGATCGTTAGCTCTTCTTGTTGCATTGATCCTTTTACCATTATGTAATGTCCTTCTTTGTCTCTTTTGATCTTTGTTGCTTTAACGTCTGTTTTATCTGAGATGAGAATTGTAACTCCTGCTTTCTTTTGTTCTCCATTTGCTTGGTAAATCTTCCTCCATCCCTTTATTTTGAGCCTTTGTGTATCCTTACATGTGAGATGGGCTTCCTGGATACAGCACACTGATGGGTTTTGGCTTTTTAATCCAATTTGCCAGTCTGTGTCTTTTGATTGGGGCATTTAGCCCATTTACATTTAGGGTTAATATTGTTATGTGTGGTTTTGATTTTGCCATTTTGATGCTAGCTGGTTGTTTTGCACATTAGTTGATGCAGCTTCTTCATTGTGTTGATTCTCTTTACCATTTGATATGTTTTTGGAGTGGCTGGTACTGGTTGTTCCTTTCTATGTTTAGTGCCTCTTTCAGGAGCTCTTGTAAAGCAGGCCTGGTGGTGATGAAATCTCTGAGTACTTGCTTGTTCGCAAAGGATTTTATTTTTCCTTCACTTATGAAGCTTAGTTTGGCTGGATATGAAATTCTGGGTTGAAAGTTCTTTTCTTTAAGGATGTTGAATATTGGCCCCCACTCTCTTCTGGCTTGTAGAATTTCTGCTGAGAGATCTGCTATGAGTCTGATGGGCTTCCCTTTGTGGGTAACCCGACCTTTCTCTCTGGCTGCCCTTAGCATTTTCTCCTTCATTTCAACGCTGGTGAATCTGACGATTATGTGCCTTGCAGTTGCTTCTCTTGAGGAATATCTTTGTGGTGTTCTCTGTATTTCCTGGACTTGAATATTGGCCTGCCTTGCTAGGTTGGGGGAGTTTTCCTGGATAATATCCTAAAGAGTATTTTCCAGCTTGGATTCATTCTCTCCATCACATTCAGGCACACCTATTAAACGTAGATTAGGTCTTTTCACATAGTACCATATTTCTTGGAGACTTTGTTCATTCCTTTTTACCCTTATTTCTCTAATCTTGCCTTCTTGTTGTATTTCATTGAGTTGATCTTTGACCTCTGATATCCTTTCTTCTGCGTGTTGAAACTTGTGTATGCTTCACGAAGTTCTCGTGTTGTGTTTTTCAGCTCCATCAATTCACTTCTGTTCCTCTCTAAGTTGTTTATTCTCATTAGCATTTTGTCAAATCTTTTTTCAGTGTTCTTAGTTTCTTTGCATTGGGTTGGAACATGTTCTTTTAGTTCATAGTTTCTTATTACCCACATTGTGAAGCCTGATTCTGTCAATTCATCACACTCATTCTCCATCCAGCCTTGTTCCCTTGCTGGTGAGGAGTTGTCATTCCCTTGTAGGAGGAGAGTTGTTCTGGTTTTGGGTGTTTTCATCCTTTTTGCGCTGGTTTCTTCCAATCTTTGTTTATTTATCCACCTGTCATCTTTGTAGTTGTTGATTTTCAGATCAGGTCTCTGAGTGGACATCCAGTTTGTTGATGATGAAGTTATTTCTTTCTGTTTCTTAGTTTTCCTTCTACCAGTCAGGCCCCTCTGCTGTAGGACTGCTGAGGTTCACTCCAGGCCCTGCTTGGCTGGGGATCACCTGCAGTGGCTGCAGAACAGTAAGGGTTGCTGCCAGTTTCTTCTTCTGCTATCTTTGTCCCTGAAGTATACCTGCCTGAGGTCAGTCTGAGCTCTCCTTTATGAGGTGACTCTTTGGATATATGGGGTTAGGGAGCTTCTTGAGAAGACAGTCTGTCCTTTATAGGAGCTCAAGCGCTGAGCTGTGAGCTCTGTTGTTCATTCAGAGCTGCTGTGCAGGTACGTTTAAGTCTGCTGCAGCAGACCTCATAAATGACTTTTTTTCCCCCAGGTGCTCTGTCCTGGGGAGTTAGGGCTTTATTTATGAGTTTCTGTTGTGCTGCTGCCTTTTTTCAGGCCTGCCCTGCCCAGCAAGGTGGCAGCCTAGTCACTGTTGCCTGCAGAGGCTTTGCTGAGCTGCAGTGGGCTCCACCCGGCTGCCATGTGAACTTCCCTGCAGTCCTGTTTATACGGGTATAGTTAGAACTGCCTCAGCAATGGCGGCCCACCTCTATAATGGCCGACTCTCTCTGTAATGGCGGGCTGCCTTGGCAATGGCAAACTAACCCCATAGTGGTGGAGTGCCTCGGTAATGGCAGACACCTCTCCCCCACAAAACTGGACCGTCTCGGGTTCAGCTGTGCTTGCTGTGAAACTCTCAATCCAGAGCATTTCAGATTGCTGTTTTTTTTGTGGGGGTGGGACCCGCTGAGCCTGATCACCTGGCTCCCTGCCTCAGAGCCTTGTTTTTTTAGTTGAATGGTCAAATGTCTCCCGGGTGTTCCAGTCACCTGTTGAAAAGGCACTGGGATCTGTGTGATTTCCTGTGCAGCAACCCACTGCACCAGCTAAACAGCCGCACTGAGAGTCGTGGCGCTTTTTTGCCCAGGAATCTCCTGGTCTGGCTCCCTGTTTCAGTCCCATTTTGAATCAGATGAATGGGCAACTCTGTCTGCCAGGAGCTCCAATCGCCAGCTAAAACGGTGCCCGGACCCATGTATTTTGTACGGAGAACTGCCGCACCAGGGCACCGGCCAAAACAGCCATGCCAGCTGAAACAGCCACACTGGCCAAAACAGCTGCGCTGGCGACCCGCAGGGCTCCTCCGCCTGGGAATCTCCTGGTCTGTAGGCAATAAAAATCCATCTGGAAATGCGGCATCCACTCACCCTCCATGCTTTCGCTGGGAGCAGCAATCCTGAGCTGCCCCTAATTGGCCATCTTGGATCCATCCAAATCACATTTTTTTTAAAGCTAATGACCAGGCTGGCCAATATGGCAAAACCCTGTCTACCAAAAAAGACAAAAATTAGCTAGGCATGGTGGCACATGCCTGTAGTCTCAGCTACACAGGAGACAGGTGGGAGAATTGCCTGAACCCAGGAGGCAGAGGTTGCTGGGAGCCAAGATAGCATTACTACCCTCCAGCCTGGGCGACAGAGTGAGATCCTGTCTCAAAAACGAAAACAAAATAAAGATATCTCTAATCTCTTTGCAAGATTTGTTCCAGGAAATTATCCAATTTCACAGACCACCTCACTATGAGTAGAACAGCACCTACACTTGTACTCCTGTTTCCTGGTCTCCAAATTTTTTGTGCTTAATTTTTTTTCTTTTTTTGAGACAGGATCTTGCCCTGTCACCCAGGCTGGAGTTTAGTGATGTGATCATGGTTCACTGCAGCCTCCAACTTCAGGGCTCAAGCAATCCTCCTGTCTCAGCCTCCTAAGTAGCTGGGACTACAAATGTGCACCACCATGCCTGGCTAATTTTTTTTTTTAAATTTAGAGATGTGGTCTCTCTGTGTTAGTTAGCCTTGGAACACCTGAGCTCAAGTGATCCTACCATCTCAGCCTCCGAAAGTGGTGGGATTACAGATGTGAGCTGCGCTAAACCAAATAGCTCCTGTATACAGAGCCCAATTCTAGACACTGGAGTGAAGGAAGTAGGGTAGCAATGAGAGGACTGGAAGAGGTTCAACCCCTTAATCATAAGGTCTCTAGTAAGTACTCAGTCCCTTTTTTAGTGCCTCTTCATAGGAGTCTTGCACCAATACCCCTGGCTAAATTTAGGTTCCCTCCTACAGACCCTCTTGTACAGCACCTCAGCCTTTGGCTTTACGCATCTGTTTTGATTACTGCAGTAGCTTAACTCTTGTTTCTAGTTTTACTCCTCCAACCTAGCCTCCACCCTGACAATAAATGCTTTTAGCAGGTAGCAAAAAAAATTTGTTCTAAAAAAAAGTAGTCTAGGCAGGAGAGTGCTGAGATCAGACTCTTACGGAAACTACTCTAGGCTTCAGGACAAAATCCAGATCCCTTAGCACCAAGTGCCATCCTGACTAGGGCTCCTTGCCCCTCAGGGGTTTCACTGTCTCCTAAGGGTACCTCTCAAAGCTATCCCTCCCTAACCTTTGCACCTATACTGCCTGGAACACCCTTCCTTTAACTGCTTGACCTTACTTTTCAACCCATGAGGCTGGCCACCAAAATCAGAATCTTCCACAGGCCAAACCCTCTACTGGGTTATGAGAATGCAACACTGAGCAGAAACAGGGCAGTCCTTGTCCTCAGGGCACTGAGAGACCTGAGGGATAGGAAGGACCAGTATACAGTACACCACTATGAAAGCATGGAACAAATCTGACCTAGACCTGGGGGTCCCAGAGGCTTCCCTGAGCAGGCAACCTAAGCTGAGACCCCCAAGGAAGCTTAGATTCAACCAAGAAGGTTGGGGAGGGATGTGATGGGCCTTCCGGGCAGAACAATGTGTGTTCTGCGTGGGAAAGAATGCGTTTGGAGGATAGGGGGAGGGCCTGTATGGCCACAAAACACAGAGTATGGGACATGCCACGGGTAGCCACACTGATTCTGCAAGGAGACAGTAAAGATTTTGGCCATCAACTTAAAGTACATGGGAAAGCCTCCTGCCTGGAATTTTAGCTGGCAGTCAGCAGGCCCCCTGGTCCTGGCCACTTACCTTTCCTTCGGCCTCACCTCAACATTCAAGGGAAAACCTGCCACCCCACAAGCCCTCCAGGGTCTGGAATGCTGGCAGGAGGGGATGGATGCCGCTGCTCCTGGAGAAAAGGGCCTCTGGCAGGGAAGCCTGAAGGGCTGGTTCCAAGTGTACAGGTCCCGTGGACTCCTCCTAGAAAACGAATGGTGAGATGGACTTTCATAGAAGAGTCTCTCCAATTTCTCCTTGGGACACTTACCTTGTGCAGAATGGAAGTGCTGCCCCTGGGGTCCCAGACACGATAGAGAGGAGGCAGCCTAGGGGCTTGGAGAAGTGGTGAGACCCAGAGAAACGGTGGACTCAGGAAGGGTCCTGCCAACAGGGCCAGCCTCGGGGTCTTCCCCAAAAGACAGGTGAGAGCCTCCAGCAGGTTTCCCACCTCTGTGAGGCTGGAGGAGAGGCCTCCTGGATGAGAAGGAAGAGGCCAGCAAGCCTGGTGGGTGCAGGCACGGGTAGACTTCTGGTAGGAACAGCATGGCTGACTCAGCCTCCTTCAGCGGCTGCAGGATGTCCCCCTCGCTGGAAGGGGTCGGGCTCCCTTTGCTGACCCAGAGTCAACCCAGCAATTCCACCTGGAGAAGCAGGAGCCCCCGGCCCCAGCCCACAGAGCATGCCTATGCCTAGAAAACTGGGCGAAGACGGGGCACAGCTGCAGCTGGGTGCCCAATGGGAAAGGTGGCCACTCCACCTCAAGCCCCAGGGTAGAGGCCACTTCTCCTTCTGCTCAGGGTTGACCTTCCGTGACCCCCTGTAGCCTGCGGGTATCCCCTGGCGGGGGCAGTAGGCAGGTGGAGGAAAAATCCGAAGGGAAAGGCCGAATCCTGAATCATTGGAAAGTCCACCACACAGTCCACAGCGGGAGGCATGTGAGGTAGTTCATCTATTTGTGCCCGAGAGCTCAGGGAGGCGCTGGTGTGACCCGAGTCGGGGACAGCAGGCTGTTTAGCGGGTAGGTGAAGGTAAGGGTCTTCCATGACCACCACAGAAACAAAACACCTGGGTCGGGATTTAGTCCAGTATTGGAAAAGCAAAAGAACAGTCAGCTGAGGGTTCCAGGGAGGCAGGTGATGTACAAAACTGGAACCCTTAGGATGGTCCACAGAATGCAGAGGAGCATAGCAAGGACAGCATCCCATGAAGTCCAAGGAAGACTAGGCAGAAGGCAGGGGAATCTGCTAGGGACCAGGCAAGCAAGCTGTTTCAGGGAGGGATCTTGGCCTTCTCTGCACACCTGGATGGCTATAGCCTACTGCAGCTCTGCCACCATACCTCCCCTGTCTTCTGCCTTTCCGCAGGCTTGTTAGCCTACATTGCCAAGGTTCTTCTCCAGGACTTCAAGGCCCTCCATTTCACTGCTGTGTCCTCAGCCCCTCCACACTGCAGCTCGGTACATTGGTACTAACTTTTCCCTCTGATTTGAAACATTTTTGCCCCATATGACTTACCTCCCACAGGAAAGTTATTCTCCCATATACCCACAGGGCTGTTCCTGTGTGTCTGCTGTTGTCGTCTCCTCTCTTCGCATACCATAGGAAGTAAACTGCAAACAAAACAAACAGGGATCCCCCTCTATCTTGTTCACAGCTGTGTCCCCAAGACCTAAAACAAGGCCTGGTACCCAAGAGGTGCTCATTCAGTTTCACAGGATTTACTCTGCCAGACGTTGTTCATGGCGTTTTACATTTGCTTCTTTATTTTCCACGCCACCATGTAATGTAGAGACTAATATTATTTCCAATCTCATTTCACAGATAAGAAATGAAAGTTGACAGATATTACGAAAAGTATATACTTACGTATAATGCCCCCTTTATTTTGCATAGGTGTTGGTGGCTGCTATCCTGATCTGTGCCCCTGTTTAAAACTACTTGAATAGATACGCTGCCAGTACTGTCTCTTATAGTCAGAGATGTGTGAGAATGGAAGGCATTACTTATTTACATTCCCGCAGTTGAGCAGAAGGCAGAAGGACAGCTAGGTACCCATGTTCTACTGCCTCCCTGTCTGGGGCACATCTTTCAGGGCACACCTGGACCCCCAGACTCCTGGGCTTTTGTGTGCTGTGGCTGGGCTCAGAGAGAGCTTTCCACTAGGCATCCCCAGAAGTCAAAACCTTAAGGTCCCCCTTTGAGCATTTCCATTTCTGCGAGAGCTTCCCGCGTTTTGGCCTAGGCAGGAACGGATTGGCACTCTAGCAACACACAGGCCAATTTTTACTTTATTGTTTTAATATGTATTTATTTGAGATGAAATGCCCAGGCTGGAATGCAGTGGCACGATCACGGCTGACTGCAACCTCTGCCTCCCAGGTTCAAGGGATTCTCCTGCCTCAGCCTCCCAAATAGCTGGGATTACAGGCGCACGCCACCCCGCCTGGCTAATTTTTTTTTCTTTTCTTTATTTATTTGGTAAAGAGGTTGCATCACTTTAGCCAGGCTAGTCTCGAACTTCTGACCTCAAGTGATCCACCATCCTCGTCCTCCCAAAGTGGCAAAGATTAAGGGCATGAGCCACCATGCCCGCCCCAGACCAATTTTTAGTTCATCCAGAGTAACCCTCTCCTGCCTTAGTCCAGCCTGGACTAGGACTTAGTGTGCATCAGAACAAAATCTTCTTGGGAGAACAGCTCTTGCGGGAGCACAGTTTTAAAGTTTGTTTAGTTAATTTTTAAAACTTTAATACTATACTTTTTAAATTGCCTATCGCTACCCACGAGGGTGAACTCAAAATTAAGCTCACCCGGGGTGAGCTCGCCACCTCCCCGCACCAAGTGGAACAGGCGGAGCTCGCGCATGCCACACAGGGGCGGGGAAGCCACTAGGCGGTCCTCATGGGAATGCGCCGTACACATAACCTCTTTCCCTTCACATTCTACACATCCTTAAGAAGCTGTTTTAAACACTTAAGTGTGCTTGTTTCAGAATGTATTTGTACAGCGCTTCCAGATTATGTTGTACGGAAGAGGGGACTGTGATGCCGTGCAATTCCCCTTTGCCTTTTTCACTACAGGGCGCCGCCATCTTGAACAGAGGCGTATCAAAGGGCTCGCCATTTTGTGTGGTCGGGCGGGTATTTCCGGTTCCGGCGGGCGTCGGCTCGCTCTCTTTCACTGCAAGGCGGCGGCGGGAGTAGCTGTGGTGCTGGCTTCTCTGAGCCATCTAGTGCCATCCTCGTCGGTGCAGCGGCACACGCGCTCTCCGCCGCCATGACTGAGCAGATGACCCTTCGTGGCACTCTCAAGGGCCACAACGGCTGGGTAACACAGATCGCTACTACTCCTCAGTTCCCGGACATGATCCTATCCGCCTCTCGAGGTACGGACTAAGGTAGCTTGCAGGACCGGAGATTGCAGGGTGGGGGATTCGGCGTGTCGCGTGACAGCCCAGTTGCGCGCGAGTTGGCGGGGACTGGCAGACTTTTCTGTCCCAGTGTGAGTTGGGGGTTGCGGACCGGAGCCTAGGCCTCAGCCCGGGCGAATCACTTTGCAGATGGGGACCTAATCAGCTCGTAGCTGCTAGGAGGGCTGGAGAGTTGGGAACTTTTAAAATATGTTTTGCCTTCCCTTTCCTAATATGGCCAGGGGTCTACGGGCTGGGCGGGGCGGTGATGATTCCAACATGCCATCTGAGTGTCGGTGCTGAAATCCAGAGGCTGTTTCTGAGCTGCCGCCCGGCCCCAAGGCTCTTGGGGAGACGGATGGACTCCAGAAGACCTCGTGGCTCAAGTCTCGGCCTACCCTTTCTCCCCTGGTTCTCCACGTCCCATTCCTGTGTGCCTGACTGCATTTAGACGCTTCTTATTCATTCTGTTTGCTTCTACACTATTAAGAATTGTCTGACCCTTGAATCATGCCTGTCTGTTAATCGTAAAATTTGTTGAGTGGAACAGATTTCAGTAAAAGCATCCAATCCTGTAGCGCTTAAAGTGGCTTTTCCAGCATTAATTACTACATTTCTGTCGTCTCTCAGAGGTAGGCATAGGAGGCCCTCAGCTACTCAATAGCCACAGACTGCTGTGCATTCGGTTGCAGAAAAGACCCTTCTCAGGAAAGGGTGTCTACAATTTCTGGCACCTGGATTAAGTTCTCAGGATACAGGCCGAGGCGGGTGGATCACTTGAAGTCAGGAGTTCGAGACCAGCCTGGCCAACCCTGTCTGTAGTTTTTAAGAAAAAAATAGCGGGGCATGCTGGCGGGCACCTGTGTGATCCCAGCTACGGAGGCTGAGGCAGGAGAATCGCTTGAACCCAGGAGGTGGAGGTTGTGAGCCGAGATCACTGCACTCTAACCTGGGCACAGAAAAAAAGCCGGGTGAGGTGGCTCACACCTGTAATCCCAGCACTTTGGGAGGCTGAGGTGGATGGATTGCCCGAGGTCAGGAGTTTGAGACCAACCTAGCCAACATAGTGAAACCCTGTCTCTACTAAAAATACAAAAAGTTAGTGGGGTGTGGTGGCGGGTGCCTGTAATCCCAGCTGCTAGGGAAGCTGAGGCAGGAGAATTGCTTCAACCTGGGAGGCGGAGGTTGCAGTAAGCCGGGATCCTGAATCATGCCATTGCACTCCAGCCTGGGCAACAACAGTGAAACTTTATCCAAAAAAAAAAGTTATTAGGTACAGTTTAGCTCTACCTGCGTTTTTAGTGTGGAATAGAGCCACTCAATCCTGGCCTAGTAACTGGTCTTGTAGCCTGCTGTTCCCATCCCTCCTTAAGTGTCCTTAGTTGTTGTTAACCCACTGATGACCGTGACACTTAGTGAATTATCCAGTGTGTTAAGAAACGGGCTGCAGGTTCCTCACTGGTTTTTCTGTTTTACCTCCTTTAGACAAGACCATCATCATGTGGAAACTGACCAGGGATGAAACCAACTATGGAATTCCACAGCGTGCTCTTCGAGGTCACTCCCACTTTGTTAGTGATGTGGTTATCTCCTCAGATGGCCAGTTTGCCCTCTCAGGCTCCTGGGATGGAACCCTGCGCCTCTGGGATCTCACAACGCAAGTAGCTGCTCACTTACCTCCGGGGCATTGGGAAAAATCTGGGCAGAAATGAGGTGGATACCATTGGCTGGTTTTCCAGGGGAGATCCAGTCCATTTGGGAACTGGAAAGCAGAGCACACCTACAAAAGATGTTTGGCCTCCCTCACTCATTACTCAGCGTTGCTGAGGAGTGCGGTTGAACGTTGTTGCCAGGGGAAACAGTTTTGAGTAGACGACAGTTTGAACATGTTTTGCCTTGAAAGCTCAGCTAATTGGCAGATGGAATTAGAGGGTCCTGGTGATGACAGACGACATTGTCAGCCAATCCCTATGGGGGAGTGAGGACATGTCCTGCAATTCTGAAGGGATTCTCTGTCATATATTCATTCAAGGGCTTAGTGTGATGAGAGCCATGTCCAGGGTTGTGTGAATGATGCAATGAGATAGAGACAAGGCCTAGGATAGGAAATCAGTCTGACTATTGAATGAGAATATTTGCTAAGTCTGAGAATGACAAAGTCCTCCTTCTCAGGGGCACCACCACGAGGCGATTTGTGGGCCATACCAAGGATGTGCTGAGTGTGGCCTTCTCCTCTGACAACCGGCAGATTGTCTCTGGATCTCGAGATAAAACCATCAAGCTATGGAATACCCTGGGTGTGTGCAAATACACTGTCCAGGTAAAGTGAGAGCATGTGTGTAAGGTTCCCTCCCACCCTTGTCTGGGCTGGGCTCGTGCCTGTAATCGTGACTCTTTGGTGGTCTAAGATGGAAGGTTTGCTTGAGGACAGGAGAGCAGCCTGGTGAACATACTGAGAGCCCCCCATCTCTGAATTTTGTGTTTACTTTTGTTTTTTGTTGTTCTGAGGCGGAGTTTCACTTGTTGCCCAGGCTGGGGTGCAATGGCACAATCTTGGCTCACTGCAGCCTCCACCTCCTGGGTTCAAACAATCCCCTGCCTCAGCCTCCCAAGTAGCCGGGATTATAGGTGCCTGCCACCACACCCAGCTAATTCTTGTCTTTTTGGTAGAGAGGGTTTCACCATGTTGGCCAGGTGGGTTTGGAACTCCTGACCTCAGGTGTTCCACCTGCCTTAGCCTCCCCAAGTGCTGGGATTACAGGCGTTGAGCCACTGCACCCAGCCCCCATCTCTAAATTTAAAAAAAATTTTTAAAAAAACGTCTTGTCTAGAATCTAAAGGGATTCTGTTGAGCTTAAAGGTTCTTGTTGTGGGTTTTTGAAAGGTGCTGTCAGCCATCATCCTGCTGGAGGGTCTAGCATTTCACAGGATTGGACTGTTTCCCCTTATTTCCTTTTCATCCACTGTAGGATGAGAGCCACTCAGAGTGGGTGTCGTGTGTCCGCTTCTCGCCCAACAGCAGCAACCCTATCATTGTCTCCTGTGGCTGGGATAAGCTGGTCAAGGTGAGCTTCGAGCCAAAGCAGGGGCTTTACCAGTCAGGGTGTGCTCCCGGGTGGTCATAGGCTCCAACTCCTGTGTAAAGCTTTACAGATTCCCTCAGTTGACTTTTTCTCTTGTTACATGATCTGAAGCAGCTAATTGATGTCCTTTATAAGTCCGGACACAGCACTGGATATGTGTCATAATGTAACTTTAAGTGGCCAGGATGTTACTGAATGATAAATGGCTATTGTATCCAGGAATGCCAAGCCCTTTTTTGTTGGGCCTGACCCTGGCTGATCCAGAGCTAGGATGTTCACCTGTCAATGTCATATTTATGCAGGTATGGAACCTGGCTAACTGCAAGCTGAAGACCAACCACATTGGCCACACAGGCTATCTGAACACAGTGACTGTCTCTCCAGATGGATCCCTCTGTGCTTCTGGAGGCAAGGTATTTGGGGGCTAGGGGTCTCCTATTCAGTGAAAGACAGTGTCATGGAAGGAGCACTCAACCAGCATCTCTACCATAAAATGACAAACATTAGCCAAGATGGTTTTAGGATAACAAGATGATGACAATCTGAGAATATGCTTCCAAAGATTACTATTCAGCAAATGACAGTTAAGGCATACTGTCTAGAAGAAAAAGTTGGGTTGTTTTTTAGAGATGGAATTTTGCACTTTTTGCCCATTCTGGAGTGCAATGGTACGTTCTTGGCTCACCGCAACCTCTGCTTCCTGGGTTCAAGCAATTCTCCTGCTTCAGCCTCCCAAAGTGCTGGGATTAACAGGCATGAGCCACTGTGCCCGGCTGAAAAAGATAATTTTCTATGAAGTTGGTTTCTTAAAGCAATTGGTGAGATTGAGATCCTAGTTTTCAGAAATGATTACAGTGTTTATGTAAATTGGGAGGGTTTTTATTGATACGGTTGGTAAGGTGTTGCGTTAAAGGAAAGGCTTATAGAAATAAATTGGTACTTGAGTCATTAGCTTTCAAGAAACCTGGGGTAATGGAAGACAGGTAAGAACTGATTCTGATGGACTCTTGAGATGGGCAGGATTAACATCTGGAAGAGGTCACAGTGTCCTGATTAACCTACCTGTTTGCCCAGGATGGCCAGGCCATGTTATGGGATCTCAACGAAGGCAAGCACCTTTACACCCTAGATGGTGGGGACATCATCAACGCCCTATGCTTCAGCCCTAACCGCTACTGGCTCTGTGCTGCCACAGGCCCCAGCATCAAGATTTGGGTAAGTGTGGATTACAGCTGACTGAGTACCTGGCTACACTCTCTAAGCCCTGACAATGTTTAGGTTACTATATATGCCATCTGACTCCCATGTGGCGGCTAAGCTTACTCAACATCCATAGATGACATCTGGATAACTCTGTTGTGGAGTGCTGTCCTGTACATTTTAGGATGTTTAACAGCATTTCTAGCATCTACTAGATGCCAGTAGCAAACCACCCTTCCACTAATGGCAACTAAAACTGCATCTAGGCATTGATAACATGGACCCTAGGGGGCAAAATCATCCCTTTATAACTTGAAAATCTTGAGTTATAAAGAGGCTTTTAAGAGGGGAGTCCGTCATTGGTAAAAGTGTTAAGGGTGCTTTTGCCTTGTTCCCCAGGATTTAGAGGGGAAGATCATTGTAGACGAACTGAAGCAGGAAGTTATCAGCACCAGCAGCAAGGCAGAACCACCCCAGTGCACCTCCCTGGCCTGGTCTGCTGATGGCCAGGTAAGTGGGTCTGTCCTCTCAGGTAACTTGGCCAACGACTTTTCTCCCTCATTCTGTTAGTGTATCTAGTCTGTCAAACACAAGAGCAGTGTCTTTGGCATTAAGTGAAATGACAGCATAAGCATAATGCCCTAATTTGCCATGCCAGTGAGTATGTTTCTGCATCAGAGGGAAGATTGAGCTGGAGGGCAGTGACTATCAGCTTTCAGTTAATATCTTGATTAATCTGACCAGTTTTGAAATGTCTAAATCCTTATCACCAGCTGTTTCTTCCTCAAGGAATACATAACCACTTTTATAATCTGACTGTTAAAAAGAGAGGGTTTTTTTTTTTTCTTTTTGAGACAGAGTCTCACTTTCTTGCCAGGCTGGAGTGCAGTGGCATGATCCCAGCACATTGCAACCTCCATCTCCCAGGTTCAAGCAGTTCTCCTGCCTCAGCTTCCTGAGTAGTTGGGACTACAGGCGTGCACCACCACGCCCAGCTGATTTTTGTATTTTTTAGTAGAGGTGGGGCTTCACCACGTTGGCCAGGATGGTCTTCATCTCTTGACCTTGTGATCTGCTCGCCTTGGCCTCCCAAAGTGCTGAGATTACAGGCGTTAGCCACTGTGCCCGGCCAAGAGGGGGGTTTCTTATAGTCACCCCAGCATGGTGGCACATGCCTTTGCGAGGCTGGGGTGGGAGGATCACTTGAACTGCAGGGGCTCAAGGTAAGCCAGGACTTCACCACTGCACTGGAGCCTGGACAATGGAGCAAGACCCTCTCAAAAAAGCCACTTGTGCTTATGATGCCAACCTGACCTGTCATTGTCATTTCTCCCCTGCAGACTCTGTTTGCTGGCTACACAGACAACCTGGTGCGAGTGTGGCAGGTGACCATCGGCACCCGCTAGAAGTTTGTGGAACAGCTTTACAAATTAAAGGAAAAAACTGGCTTTTTTGACTTTTAGAAGGTGTTTTTTGGCTTTATCCTATCTATATTGCTTACGCAGGAAGTTTGCACTAGCAAGTTGGACACAAGGTATGGACTAAGTAAACAAGGCTTTGAAGGGGAAGGGGAGCTAAGTTCTCAGGATTGGGGTAGCATAAGGTGGGATATTTATGAGAAATCACAGCATTTTCCCTGAACCTAAACCCCATCAGGGTACTACCTATCAGGTGCAGATCATCAGGGCCTACCTTCAACCTGGGGAACCTTGAGAGAAAGGACTGATTATTTCAAGGTGGTTGCAGTCAATTTTTAGGAAAAGCAGACTCCTCACGTCCAACCCGATGCATAAGAATGCAACAAAGATGAATCCTCATTGCTCTAAAGACTTGAATATAATTCAGAAAACTTCTTAAGCTTGGCCTAGCAGTCTCTATCAACTTGGTCTTTGAGGAAAATCAAGAGGGTTTTTGTTGTGGGGTTTTTTTTGGCTGTTTTGTTTTTTTTTTTTGAGACGAGGTTTGCTCTGTTGCCTAAGCTGGAGTGCAGTGGCATGATCTCAGCTCAGTACAGCCTCCTGAGTAGCTGGGGTTACAGGCGCACGTAACCACACCAGCTAACTTGTATATTTTTCAGTAGAGATGAGGTTTTGCCATGTTGGCCAGGCTGGTCCAGAACTTCCAGCCTCAAGTGATCTTGCCATCTTAGACTCCCAAAGGGCTGGGATTATAGGCATGAGCCACCACGCCCATCTGGGTTTTTAATTCTTACCAGAAAAACCTGCAGACTGATCACAACTTATTTATTCCTCATAATTACAGGTTAAAAGTTTTGGGGTGGTCAGAAAGCATTCATAAACATAACCATAAAGTTGGTCCTACTAAACATTTCTAGTGCTGCTATAACCTGGCCCTCAAGAGGATAGATGTCTTGTGAAAGGCCAGAAGTCAGCTGTTAGACTACAATTAATTAGCTTCAGATAGAAAACTCAGGGATGGAATGGCTCAAAATACGGCTGAGACCCCACTGCCCTTGAAGTTTTCTCTGCAGTTGTGTGATGGCTACCCAACTGAAAGCCCACTTCACCCTTCACTCCCTACTGCCCTCAATCTATAGTGGTGGTGAGGCATTTCTGGCTTCGGTTTTTATGTTTGTGTATGTGTGTGCATGTATGTGTGTACTGTTCCCAAGACTTGGGCTTGTTAACTAGGTATAGAGATTCTTAGGGGGAACCTCAGTCCTACAGCTTCCAAGTAATGGTAGGGAAGAAGTTGCAAACATCTTGAAATGTTAGTAAATTAGATAGGATATTAAAATGGGGAGCAGGGTCTATCCCTGTTCATAGGTGATAACAGATGCAAAACATGCCTTTGTTCTGTGGCTTCTTGTTGGTGGGGTAGGGAAGGAAGAAATCCTCAGTCATATCCTCATCTAAAGGAGAGAAGCAAATAAACATTTTATTTCCATAGCACCCCTTCCCTTTTCCAAAAGAACATGAGTTCACCTCAGCCATCAAAGCAGAGGGCAAAAGCTGATAAGTGACAAGGCAAGGGGTTACTAGAAAAATAGATTATACCCAAGATTCTCCTCTTGGGGACCCAGACCCCTGTCTTCAGGCTTCCCCTCAGGGCTTGCCAAATGGAGGGAATGAAAGACATGGAAAGGGACTGGAAGAACAGCCAGGTCTGTTGAACAAAGGGGAAAGGAGCCTGGCACTGAACAGACTTGGGTGGGGGGTGAGGTGGCATAAGCTTTGTTCCTCAATTGAGTGCTGGAGAAGGAAAAGGGGAAGAAATAATTTATTGGGCGATGTAATGGTGCGTGGTTTCAATCATGGCGACCATTCCAGATCTCTCTCAAGTGAAGCTAAATTCTGGCCGGTCTATGGAGGTAGAAATTGAGGATGGAAGGAAAGTTTAGAATCCCTCCTCCCCAGAATAGACATTTATTACCCAGCTCTACCCTTTGGCCCAGTCTGCCTCCCCAAATGGCTTCCAAATCCCTCAGCTGAAATTTGCATCAGAAAATGGAACTGGAATGGGGACGTTGTCTCGCCCAAACCCTCCAGCCTCACAACTGATGTACAGGTTGAAGAGCATGGATGAGGAAAAGGAAGTTAAGGAATGAAATTGCAATTTCCCCTCATCCCCTACTCAAATTCAGGTCCCAGGGCTGGGCTAGGCAGACAGGGAGAGACGACCAGGCAGCTGTTCTCGTTACCAGGGACCCATGCAGACCTGGTGAACAGACAGTAGGTGAGAGAAGGCTGAGCTGGAGGCCAGGAGGGTTCTTTAGGCTCCTAGAGGTAGAAGCAGGGGCCTGGGGTTAAGGGGGAGTGGGAAGCAACGCTAAACAGTGGGAAGAGCCTTTGAGCCCTCCAACTTATGGGCCACCCTCCTCCACCACCCGCCCCCCAAGTGCTGACCAGAGGGGCCCCTGCGGGTGGCAGGATGATCAAGGGCAGAGCTTGATGCGGGTGCCCTTGGAGAGCACCCGGAAGAAAGGAAAGACACGCTCGCCCAGGAATGCAGCCGAAAAGGTGTGCACATGGGCTAGAGTCTCTGCGTTGTAGAAGCCCAGGCGCCCAGCTTCATAGTCCAAGTACACGCCAAAGCGCCGTGGTTTCTCACTGGGGCTCAGCAACGTCTGTTCTGTTGAGCTCTGGGCCTGGTAGCGTTTGCCATTGGTGCCCACACACCACACTTCCCGCTGGAGCAGGGGCTGCTGGGGTAGGTGGAGCCGGCGACGGCGATGGTGATGGCGCGAGGAACTGGCATCCCCGCTGCCCATGGAGGACCCCCCAGGGCCAACCTTTTCCTTATGATGGGTTGATTCACGGGCAGCGCCCACCGCCCAGCCCCGCCGCCCGCCCACCTCTACCTCCCAGTAGTGCCGGCCAGAGCGGAAGCCCTGGGCCCCCAGTACGCAGCAGTCAGCTGAGAAGCGCTTGGGATGGTCAGCAACCTCCTGCCGCCGCTCTGCCAGGCGGACCCCCCGGCGATCAGGGGACAGCATCAGGGCCGGGTGAGCCGTGTCAGGGTCCAGCGTCAGGTCCACTTGGGAGCGGGGGAGGACAAATATGCCAGAGCTAGAACCACTGTTCCCCTATCAGCAGCCAACTCCACAGATTCAGCCTTTCCTGCCGCCGCCTCTTTCAATCCAACTCCCCACACCATTCCAGAGGCCAGCCTCAGATTCCAACAGGTTCCATCTTGCTCCTCTTGTTCTCAGGATACCTGACAGGTCTTCCCCTAGCCCCAGCTCTTGCCACTCCACCCCACCCCCACCCACCAGGCCTGCCTGGACTAGGACTACCTGCTCATGGCTTGAAACCTCAACCTCTGAGGTTATATCCTGCTCCATCTCAACCCCCACAATTTCCCTGGGGCTCAACTTCCCTCAGGACCCAGTCTAGGGTCTACGAAGGGAAAGGCAAAGGAAGGTCGTGGAGGTGACCTCCCTACCTCTCGCAGCCTGACAGAACATCCGGCTCATTTTCCTCACGATGGCGTCTGTCAAGAAGTCATGGCTATGGGGTTGGCATGGGTCAGGGGACCAGACCTCTGGGGGCTGCAGCTGTACCTCTTCACACCTGGAGGAAGGGGACCGGGCAGGGGGTGGGACTATGATATTCCCAGAGGGAAGAACAAAAGCGGAGGGGAAGGAGAGGAGGGTCCAGGAGGTAGAAACTCGGGTCCTAGGGAAGGAAGGAGAGGAAAGGGATACCCGAGAGAGGCAGGGACAGAGAACCAGATTCCACTGGGTCACAAAGGGTAAAGAGTGGGAACACACCTATTGAAAGTCTCCTTGATGTCCTGGGAATAAGAGAAACAAAAAGAGGGACAGGGAGAAAGAAAGAAAGAAAGAGTGTCAGCTGCATAGGGACAGCTTTCTCCAATCTCTAGCCAGAGACAACCTGAGCAGGAAGGGAGAAGCAGCACCCTCATGGTCTCAATAAACACACATCATTTCAACCACCCCATGCCTCACCATACCTAACTCGTCTCTTCCTGCTGTGAGCCCAGGAATACTGTCCTTTCCATAATATGACTTGTTCACCTTTTTTGAGAAGTCATTGTCAAAAATTCTTTCCTCAACTGTCATTTAAATATCTCTCCTACGACCAAATCTTTATGCTTTTCACTGGGTATGATCATCACACGTACCACAATCGACGTTAACTCTATCTCTAGCTTTAAAAAATGTTTTTGGTCTTCAGGTTAAATCATTGTGGGTTCCTCCCAGTGAGAGGCAGCAGCTCTAGACAGGCGTTTGGTAAGCACTGCCTGACAGCCAACAAAAAATGCTAGGGAAACAAGGAGGGGACAGTGCTTACCTGGAGCAGCCGGAGACCCCCCTGCTGGCTCCGCTCCTGGGCCTCAGCCAGCAGGCGGCTGAGCTGGGCGGCCTGCTCTGCAAGGCGACTGGCTGTGGCTCCCGCACGTCCCAGCTGGGCTTCATGCATCTCTCGGAGACGCCGTTCCAGCCCTGCCTGCTCTTCAGCCAGAAACCGTGTCAGCCGCCCAAACTCTGAGGCCACTGCTGCTAGCTCTGACTTCATCTGGCTCTGGAATGGTGCAAAGGGGATGGTAGATACCACCTCAACACATAGGAAGATAACTTCCAGTTTTACAACTACCACTTCTCACTGCAAGGCAAAAGAGCTCTATACTCCCCAGGTCGAAGAAAGTCCTAAAAAGAGGTTTATCTCCTACCAGCCTTACTTCTCAGCCTTACCAGATACCACCCCCTTATTACCAGCACACTGGTCCCAAACTCACCAACCTCTGCCTGGAACACTCCTCTCCACGTAGTCTAACTAACTTGACTCATCGTTCAGGTCCAACCTTAAATAGTCCAAGAGAAGCCTTCCCTCTTCTCTAGATCTAAATCGGGACCATCCCCACAAATATCACTATATTTCTTTGTGGCACACATAATACTGAAATGTTGGGCCGGGAGCAGTGGCTCATGCCTGTAATCCCAGCACTTTGGAAGACCAAGGCGGGCAGATCATGAGG